CCCTCTTTGGTAATTTTATCAGCAAGATCTGAAATTTCCGCAATTTTTTCAACAAGAACAGGAAAAATAATTATCTAAATAAAAAGTTAAATAAATAGATTCGATATCAATTATTAAGATCTCACCAATGAGTTTTATCTAATCAACAACATACCCATCATTCTCATTATTATAATTTTTATTGAATTATTTATAACCTATGTTTATAAGTATAAAGTTTGATCAATTATAATTAACTTGGATAGTCATCACACTAGTCGACTAGGGTTAGAAATGGAAGTAGACGGGGGCTAGGGTGTCAAGTAAATCTCGGCTCGATGGGCTCGGCTCATTAAGCTCGGGCTCGCTAGCCCAACGAGTCGAGTCCGAGCCTAAAGTTCAAACTCGTTAAGTTTAACGAGTCGAGCTCGAGCTTGGGGCAGTAACTCAGATGGTAGAGCATTCGCTTAGTATAAGAGAGGTTGTGGGATCGATATCCTACTTCTCCAAATTATTTATTTATTTTAACCTGCAATTTCATAGTTGCAGGATAAGTTTGAGTTCGGGCTCGCGAGCTTCGAGTCCGAGCCTGGCAAATCTTTAACGAGCTCGAGCTTGACAAATCTTTAACGAGTCAAGTCCGAGCCTGGATAAACTCCTTAACGAGCCGAGCCCGAGCCTGGATAAACTCCTTAACAAGTCGAGCCCGAGCCTGGATAAACTCATTAACGAGCCGAGCCCGAACCTGGATAAACTCCTTAACGAGCCCGAGCCTGGATAAACTCCTTAACGAGCCGAGCCCAAGCTCAGCTCAATAAACAAAAACTCGGCTCGGTTCGTTTGATACCCTAACGGAGACAAATATATATCTTGATTAGTTGATCTTAATCAATTAAAAAAAAAGTTTTTGAAATAATTTGATTTAAAACTTACAACTATGTTGCAAATTGAATGGCAATTAAACTAGAAATGAATTTAAAAAAAGAAAGTTACAAAGGAAGAAAATAATTTCTTATTTATCTTAGATGATTTTTAAAATCTAAGGACAAAAAGGTAAAATCATTGATGGATGGAAAACCATTAGAAAACACTATAAAATCAAGAGGAGAGAAAAGAATCAACTAGACTTTTGGTACATGTTGGATAGGCATGTATATATTCTCCGAATTAGAATTCGGATAATTCAAATTCGTCAAAATAATATCCGGATAGGAAAATTCGAATAACTTTTTATAAAAACTTTAAAAAATCTTAAAATAAAATTATAAAATTACCCTTAATTAAAATAAAATTATAATCAATTAATCACCCTAAAATTTGGATAATCAAAATATTCGAAAGTCAATTTATTTTTATTTGGATATTCGTATATTCGAATATGGAATTATCAACCGAATTCAGATTTGAATTCGAAAACGGACATGAATACAGGTTTCGGTATATTATTTAAAGACTTAATATTGAAGGTTAAGCTAAGTTCTTGAAGATCTAAAAGAAAGAAAAAGA